ACTCCCCCCTTCGCCCCTCTCTACTCCCCTCTCCCCCTCTCTACTTCCACCTCCCCCCTCCCCAGGCCAGCGAAGATTGCCTATACCTGAACGTGTGGGCCCCCCGGGTTCGAGCCCCGTACGCTAACAAGGCAGTGCTTGTGTGGATCTATGGCGGCTCCTTCATGACGGGCTCCTCCGTGCTAGACGTGTACGACGCTAGCCACCTGGCGGCGGAACATGACGTGGTGGTCGTGTCTATGCAGTTCAGGTACTGTCTGTCTATCATGAAGTAGTGCTTGTGTCCATTGTCCATCTTGACGTAATGGTTGAAGTACAGGTACTCTCCATCGTGACGTGGTAGTTGTGTCCATGCAGTTCATGTACTGTCTGTCTATTATGACGTGGTAGATGTGTCCATGCAGTTCAGGTACTGTCCATCATGACGTGGTGTTTGTGTCCACGCAGTTCAGGTATTGGCGCTCATATGACCTTATGCAGTTGCGAGCGCCATAAAGACTCTACTAAAACTAAAAATTAGCAGTTCAGGTACTGTCTGTCTATCATGGCGTGATGTTTGAGTCCATGCGGTTCAGGTTCTGTCCATTATAATCTAACGGCCACCTTTTTCATTCTGCCTTCCCCGAGGTTTCATTTCTATTTTGCTTTCCTCATGCTTTCCTTTCCATTTTGCTTTCATAGAGCCATTCACCGTGTGTGTGTGTGTGTGTGTGTGTGTGTGTGTGTGTGTGTGTGTGTGTGTGTGTGTGTGTGTGTGTGTGTGTTTACTTCGTTAAACTTTTCTACTTATTACGATATTATTCACGGTGGTTCTCTCTTACATTCATCATTCACTGATGTGTTGTACTGTAGCGGTCATTAGGGCTAAAAAACCCTGACCCCTAATCCCTAAACCTTAACCCTTAACCCCTAACAATTAGCCCTAGCCCTAGCCCTGGTCCTAGCATTAGCCCTATCCTTACCAGTACCCCTACCCCTACCCCTAAACCCTAAAACCTAACCCTACAGCCATAACCCAAAACCTTTGAACCTAAACCCTAAACCTTTAACCCTAAACCCTAACCCTAACCCTAACCCTAAACCAAAAAAACCGACAGTGCCTGTTGGAGACAGAAGGTATACCTGTCAGTCAAAATTCACACACCCCCTCCCCTCCCATCACCTCACCCTTTCCATCCTTGTAAAGATTTTTCTGTGATCTATCTCAATAAGCCACTATTTTAAACAATCATCAGCACGAACAGTCAATTTCCCTCATTTTCCTTGTGTATTTTTTTCACGTTACAGTGACGTCATTTACGACGACCACAATACGCACAAGACGGTCCATTTTTCTTTTCGACAATTCTCTACCTTACAATTACAAAGTTCTATCTGCTCAGTTCCTAGTTTTGGGTCTCACTACTTGTCAAGCTTTTTCAAATGCAATTCTTTGAATATCTTGATAACTTACTTTTATCCGCCGTTTATACCCTTCAACATCTTGATAACGATTCCCAATAACGTTACGATCTATTTTGATAGAGCAAATAGAGCATTAATTTGGTTTCTGGTGTCATGGTTGAAGTAACTCAAAACGACCAAAAATGTCAGATAGAACTTTGTCATTCTGAGGTAGCGAATGGGTGGCTGTTGTAGACAGTTTTGTCTATAGTTCGTGATGATGGTGGTGGGTTTTGTTTGTTTTGTTTGTTTGTTTGTTGGTTGTTGGTGTTTTTTTTGGTGGGGGG